GCAGAAGAATGTATCAGCAATCAGGAAGGCAGGAGAGTGAAAATCATCCAATTGGAGGATCAAAAAGAAAGAATTGAAAAGGATGAGGAGAGCATAAGGGACCTCTGGGACCATCAAATGTTCTAACATTCTAATCATAGGGGTTCCAGAAGGAGAAAATAGAGAAAAAGGGATGTAAAACCTATTTGAAGAAATAATGGGTGAAAACTTCCCCAACCTGGAGAAGGAATCAGGCATCCAAATCCAGGAAGCACAGAGAATTCCAAACAAGATGAACCCAAAGAGACCCACACCAAGATACATTATAATTAAATTGTTAAAAGCTGAAGATAAAAAGAGGATCTTAAAAACAGCAAGAGAGAAACAACTAGTTACATACAAGGGAATGCCCATAAGACTACTAGCTGACTTTTCAACAGAAACCTTGCCGGACAGAAGGGGGTGGCATGATATATTCAATATGATGAAAGGTAACAACCTAAAACCAAGAATACTTTACCTGGCAATGTTAACATTCAGAATTGAAGAAAAGATCAAGATTCTCCCAGACAAGCAAAAACTAAAGGAGTTTATCATCACTAAACCAGCATTACAAAAAATGTTAAAGGGAATTCTTAAGTGGAAAAGAAAAGGCCAAAACTAGAAATAAGAAAGTATATGAAAGAAAAAATAATGTCACTAGTAAAGGCAAACATATAGCAAAGGTAGTAGACCAACCACTTTTAAACCTAGTATGAAAACAATTAAAATTGCAATAAGTACATACCTATCAATAAATGTAAATGTACTAAATGTTCCATTCAAAAAACATAGGGTGACTGAATGGATGAAAAAACAAGATCTTACATATGCTGCCTATATGAGACTCACATCAGGTCAAAAGACACACACAAACAAAAGTAAAGGTATGGGAAAAGATATTTCATGAAAATGGAAATAAAAAGAAAAGCTGAGATAGTAATACTTACATCAGACAAAATAGACTTTAAAACAAATGCTATAACAAAAGACAAAGAAGGACCCAGCAATTCCACTTCTGGTCACTTATCTGAAGAAAATAAAACACTAATTCAAAAAGATATATGCACCCCTATTTTCACTGCAGCATTATTTACAATAGCCATAACATGGAAGCAACACACACAAACACACACGCGGCCGCACACACACAGAGGAATATTACTCAGCCATGAAAAAGAATGAAATCTTGCCATTGCAACAACATGGATAGACCTAGAGGGTATTATGCTATGTGAAATAAATCAGAGAAAGAAAAACGCTGTATCATTTCACTTATATGTGGAATCTAAAAACTAAACAAATAAAACATAAATACAGAAAAACTGATAGTTGCCAGAGGGGTAGGGGAATGGGCAAAAATGTAAAGGGTATTAAGAAGTAAAAAGTTATAGTTATAACATAAATGAGTCACAGGGATGTAAAGTACAGCAGAGGGAATACAGTTAATAACATCATAATAATTTTGTATGATGACAGATGGATGCTGTGGTGATCACATTGTAAGGTATATAAATGCCAAATCACAATGTAATACACCTAAAACATATATAATATTGTATGTCAACTATACTTTAACTAAAAAGAACTTTACATTACAGAATAAAAAGAAAATCTAATTGACTTGTCAGAAGTTAATTAATTGGACACAAAAATTGGAAGGATACCCAAGTTTCCTGATGCCTAGTCAGTGCTCTTTTCACTGCACCAAACTCCATTGTACAGATAGGTGTATGTTTTTGTATGACTTGTTTGTAGAAAATATCTCCATGCCCTTCTCTCTATTACAAGGGGCCCCAAGGCCTTCAAAGTGCCATCTTGATGGTTGTGTTCACCCCCATCCTTCAATTCTTTCTAACACACTCACTGCTGATGTGCTTGTCTGATAATCATTTGCTGCTTCCTCAAGATTTCCACAAATACCCACTTTCTTATCTCTCAGCAGCACAGCTTCCTCCTGCTACCGCTAACTAGAAAATTCTATTTCTCCCTGTCTCATAATATCACTGTACTTAGTGTTCCCATATAATACCCCATGACCAGGTCTCTACAACCCAAGTGTGGCAGAGATTGAGGAAAATTAGCTAATTCAATTCTGTGTCAATTCGGCAACAGTTGGAAAGATGAGCTTAGATTATACCTTGCATCTGTTATTTCAGACTTGAGATCATTGTTGCTTTTTCAAGAGAAGAAATTATTCAATTCTCACCCAAAATGCTTAGAAAATGTTATCATTCTCAATAGGCAGTAGAGTCCTTAACTTGTCCAGCCTTCTGGTTGTCATAACTATATTTATTTGTAAGCCTTTCTTTGGAACTCTTAAACTCTTTCCATAGGAATTTTTCTTTAGCTTTACTTTAAGTACAACTTTTCTGCATAGGACAGAACAACAAATAGAAATAGTTAAGAAAATACAACTTCTGTTCAAAATTATAGGAACTCCAAGAGTAAAAACAAGTCATAGAATAGCTCTCAAATTCATTTCTTTTTTCCAACTTGTAGCCCAAAACATTTCTGCATTCTTAGTAAACAAACACATAATTTATAAGCTTATTGTCACAGTTTTGAAGTTGGTCTTCCTACATATGTCTATGATGACTCTGGAAGACACCAGACTCCTTTGGGGGGCAGATACCTACCAAAATTATTCATTCATTTAGAGAATAAATATGTATTAAGTAACTGTTATGAGTTAAGTTCTATTTTAGACATTAGGGACACAGCAGTGAACAACCCCAACAAAAATCTCTGTCCTCATGGAGCTTATATTCTAACCAGAAGAGTAACAATAAATTAGATTAACAAATAAAATGTAAACTATGTCAGTGATAACAAATAAGAAAAAAATCAAGCAGGTGAGGAATTCGATGAGAAGTGACTATTGTAGGTTCTAGAAACCAGGGCTGACTTCACTGAGAAAGCTGGTTAAGAGGAAGCTTTGTTGGTTAAGTGTGCCAAAGGCTGAAGAACAGGAGTAGGGGAGAGAGTGAAGAACATGAGAAAAACCTAGGATTAATAAAGAAGATAAGCATTTTCAGGGGGCAGAGGGGAAATTAGCCTATATGAGTGTGATGTAGTTTCAAACATGTGGGAAGAATATAGAATAGATTCATATCACAGAGGATGTTGAATCGCAGCATAAATAGGGGCCTCCATCTGCCATCTCAGTTAGTGAGATTCAGGCACTATGCTAAACTAGAGTGTCCTGACTGAGAACCTGAGACTCGCAAGAGGGATTGAATTTTCCAATGTTATACCATTAGCAAGAGGCAGAATAAAGTGCGGGCTTCAAGTATTCCTCCCTCCCACCTTTCCTTCCTTCCTTTCTTCCTTCCTCCCTTCCTCCTGTGCTCACTGACATGAACCAATTAAATATCTTGGAGGTGCAGAACTAACCAGGTAAATAGACTCTGATCAAGGCTTTTTAGATTCTTTTCCTAAAATCTTTCTAGTGACAGTTCCTCTTTTTATCACCTCACAACAGCTCTGATCAAAGGACAAATACTCTCTGCTACCCCTCTTTGCAGCTTCCCTATGCCAAACGCTTAATTCAATCATTTAATTCCCCCCTAAAAGGCCCAGGCAGTGGAGAAAAGGCCAGGTACCCAGAGTTAACAACGTTTCATAGGGCCAACTGCTGTCACACTTTAAAGAAAAATATTCTTAGGTTAGACCAGAAGTAAAAGAATTTAGATCAGACAACAGCAGTCATGTATTATTTTTCTCTGGATAGGTTTTGTGTGTAGCAAGCAGAGGCATTCAAAACAATTCTATTGTCCTAGGAATGTATTTTATGTTCAGGTTATTCTCTTCAAAAATAGCTATTTTAGTCCCTAAATTGTTGAACGACTCACTAAGATTTTGTTTTTAAATGTCTGCAGAGCTTAAGTGTCTGAAACTGGCACTCCCCTATACACCCCCCCACACACACCCCAACGGTTAAAAGTGTGCATGACAATGAAGGCCTTGTGGCAGCTCCAGGGACTAGAGGGACAAGCAGCGGAGGACAGTGGTCCCGCTTCCACTGACTAGCTGTCCTGAGTGCGGCAGGAGGGAAGAGGCAGGAGGACAGAGCATAAGCCAATAAGTGCTCATTCGCCTCCAGTTTTTTAAGCTCTATTTGGGCAATTAAATGATTCTTCTCCTCTTTCTTCCTCTTTGAATCAATGTCTAGTGCCATCAGAATGAGGCTTTCAGGAGAATCCAGAGGTGTTGATTAGGCAGTGCTAAGAAAACATAAACACGTGGATGAACTAGGGAACTAATTCATAGCTATGGAGAAACCCACGTTCATGAAGTCGAAAGTGATGATCCTGAAGGTGGTGGCTGCTAACTGCTTAAGGCAAGCTCTCAGAGATTTTTTTTCCCTGAGAGAAATCCTACGTGGACCCCTAATATATAAAAGAGGAAACAAACCAAGGCAGACCCAGAATGACTGTGGCTAGAGTGGCATCCTATTTGCAGGACCTTGAAAAGCTGGTCAGCCTTTGAGATCTGAGACTTCTTCATATACCCTCATGAGGATCAAATAAAGTGGATTTTATAAATTGCAAATTTATAGATATTTTAATGTCAGTGGAAGATTCTGAGGCAGAATCCTTAAGGATTAAAGAAAATGTTTTCTAATACACCATTTCAGCTATCATGAGAAGTAGCAATTCTTTAAGTAGGAAGAGCTCTTGCAATGCCCCTTAAATCATGTTTGAAGTTTCTAGACTTACTGATTTGAAAGACTTGCCCTGGGGTTTGGATCGTTCAGAGCATTTCCTTTTTTCGGAAGATGGAATAAGGGCCAGACACCTCCTTCCTCCTCCTGAATGGGCAGAGGGGTCATGCTCCTTTGCGCAGATCTGGGAAGATGGGGGGCTGGGGGACACCTTGGGATTGGTGGTTTCTGGATAGAGGATGAGGGAGTATCACTGTGCTTCAACTCACAGGGCAGCTTCACGGTGGCAGGAGACCCTGAAGTCTGAGCCAGGGCCATGGAGGGCTCTGTGCTGAGCCCCGAGTCCTGGGAGAGGCGACGGGCCTGGCTCCGTCAGAGCCGCCACTGGCAGACCCAGGTCCTGGAAGAGGAGGCTGCGGCTGCCCTGCAGGGTGTCCCCGATCCTGAGCCTTCCAGCCTGGACGATGTCTTCCAGGAAGGTAAGAGGCAGGTGGACACCAAACAGACTTCCACGTTGTCTTTGGTAGGGAAAGTGTGGCAATAGGTGGGCAGTGGGTCCCTTCTAGGCCCTTGGGGGGGCTCATTTTGACTGGTTTAAATAAGTTTAAGGAAAGAAGGGTAAAGTAATACAAAATATGAATTATGTAAAAAAGAGACAGGCGTGAGATTAGGAAACAGGAAGAGGCACATTTTTGCATCAGCCTGAGAAGCTGTTTGTAGGACTTGAGGCCAGGGTCCTCTGTGAGTGTTTGGGGGTGTTTCTATTTTGTCTGTGTAACAAGGTCACACAACCCAAATGCCTAGACTCTAGCCACAGCTCTGTCACTAACAAGCTGTGTGACTTTGGCAAGTCCCTCACCTCTCTAAGACATAATTGTCTCATTTAAATAGTAATAGTGCCTTTTTTACTTGCCTCTCAGAGCTTCTTTCAGGTTCAAATAAGTGGGGGAAATCTTATATAAATAAACCCATTCTTGTTTACTTAGGAAACAAAAATCTCAAATGCAATATTATGCTTTTTGTTTGTTTTATTTTCTGTGGGTTTTTTGTTTTTTTTTTCCTTTTTTCAAGGGGAAGGATCCACCTCTATTCCCAAACCTTAGGGGGAAAGAGAGCAGTGGGCTTGACATCCTGGGCATTTTCCAGGTTCCTGGGAGGAAGGGGACAGGGGGGTAGAGAGAAAAGAAATATCCACTATTTTTATACATGAGTATACTCCTCTCATATCTTAAAGAAAGTTTTATGGGGGCAGGGAAAGGAAGGATTTGTGACATGGCTTATATAAGGATAAACTTGAGAATGGGGTGAATTGCAGGGAGGCAATCTGATTTCCTGCAGTTCTCACAGTGATCTTATCTGACTTTCCTAGGGAATCCAGTCACTAAGATTAAAGACTGGCTGCAGTCCTGTGGGTAAGTGCTGGTGAAGCAATGGGATTGAACGCAGTTGATAGTTGGATATGCTAACAAGCACTGACTCATGGAAACTCAGAAACAGGAAAATGGGTTTGAATTGGGCCTAATGATTAGAAGTGAGGTTGAAATGGGGGTGGGAGGGTAAGAGTTTGGGGTGAGTGTGGGCATTAGGGCTGTGAATCAAGTGCAGCTCGGGGATGAGACAAATTTACAGTGGAGGTCTGGAAATACAGGCTGGATCTGGTCTAAAGCCAAGAATGATGCAAATCTGCAGCTTTGGGGAACGGCTGGGCTGAGCTCCAGATCCCTTCTCTACTGCTTTTCCTTTCAGACTAGAGTCTAACACTGTGTAACAGAGGAGGTTAGGTTTCTAACTGTTCTTATGATCAGAGTAATTCATCACTATGCTGTTTATTTCTCCTGCAGAACACAGGACAAGGGGCTAAGGGTTTACTCCAGTCATTCAGAGCAGTGAAGAACTGGAGCAGGTACTTCAAGGCAAAACATAGTATCTCTTTCCTCAGAAACACTTTAAAATACAAGGCCTCGTACCCCATCAGCCTGTACCATTTTAGTCTCAGTCTACCCAGACTTCCGTGACCGTGACCTATTTAAGCCTGATCATTTGGGTGATAATGAAGTCTCAGAATTTATAACTCCTGCCTGCTCCTTATTTCCCCTCCAGGAACAGTTCAAGTTTTATATAGCCTTTAATCTAAAGTCATCTATTAATATATACATAAACCCATCCTTGTTTATTTGGTAGGAAATAAACAGCACTGAATAATCCAATGTTTATTTCAACTATAACCCAGAACACAATGTCAGGAAGGATTGATTTTGTGTTTTTGTTGTTTACAAAACATATCATCCTTGTAGTCCTAATCTGGTTCACAATTCAATGACTTCAAAGTCAATTAAGGGTAATCAAAATATAGAGAAGTAAAGTGAATGTAGGAATAGGAACGTCTGCAAGTTTTGGTGTGTCCTAAGATTTAAAATGCCTCACCAGATGTCAAAGTGAACCAGCTGTCTCAGTTAATGTCTTTATCTCATTAACTACTCTTGAGTTTTGTCAATTCACATCAACAATTATTAAGTGTGCATTTGCTGATTGTCTAAATGGTCTACAGGGTTGCCAAATAGTTTAAAATATGCTCCTTGTCTTCAAACGTACTATATTCTAGTTGAAAAGAATAAATTCACAGAAATATGAGATTGTAAACTTCAGAAATCACCTTTCCCCAACTGTATTTGACAGAGATAAACCATGATACAAAACATATGTTAAAAATGTAGCCTGGGCATTGCTCAGAGATCAAGGTTCGATTCCCTGTCAGGGCACATGCCTGGGTTTTGGGCTCAATCCCCAGTGGGGGGCACGCTGGAGGCAACCGATCAATGACTCTCTCATCACTGATGTTTCTCTCTCTCTCTCTCTTTCCTTCTCCCTTCCTCTCTCTGAAATCAATAAAGATATATTTTTTTAAAAAGTAGCCTGATAGTGAAAAGACTCCAAGATTGGAGCCTAATTCTTTTGCTAACTATCTGTGTACTGAAATTCTTTCTATCTCAGATTCCTCACCTATAAAGTGGAGAACTAGAATAATTTCAAAAGTTTCAATCGTTTTCAAAGCTTTCAAAGATTTAAATGGTATGATGTACATACAAGTGCTGTATGCTCTGTAGAGATATGTGAAGGGTAAGGTTTATAAAGCAGGGGCATTATGCTACTTTAAAATTTCACAAAATAAGTCTATCTACTTATTTTTTAAAATATATATATATATATAACTTTATTGATTTCAGAGAGAGGAAGGAAGAGGGGGGGAGAGAGATATAAACATCAATGGTGAGAGAGTCATTGATCGGCTGCCTCCTGTATCTCCTACTGAGGATGGAGCCCACAACCCAGGCATGTGCTCTGACCAGGAATCAAACCTCGATCTCCTGGATCCTAGGTGGATGCTCAACCGCTCAGCCACACCCAGCCAGCCTATCTATCTACCTTTTTATCAGAAAGGTATACTTACCCTGCTTCCAAGGTAACCAGTAGCCTGACTTATGGCATCATAGATAAGTTTTTCAGTTTTTTAACTTTATATAAGTAGAATCATACAACAAGTACTGTTTTATGTGTTTCTTTTGTTCAGCATTATGTTTGTGATGTTCATGTTTTGCAAGCAGCAATAGGTCATACATTTTATTGTTGTGTAGCATTAAATTATATATTCATCCTACAATTTATCCATTTTACAATAATTAGAGATTTGGGTCTTTCAATTCTGGGTTATGAAAATCATTTCTTTTGGTGAACATATACAGGCTTTTCCATTGATACACACACAGAAGTGCAATAGTAGGCTGTTTTTATTGTAGTTATAATAAAAGTTGGCTTTAGTAGCTACAGCACAAGCATTAAATGCAATAGTCAATCTCAGTATTCTAGTATTTGATTATATTAGTTATTATAGTGTCTTAGTAGCAATAGTAAATATTAATTTATATTAACATTTGTATTATATATACTAATGTATTTGTAGCATTATATTAAAATATATTTATGTAATAATGTTATATGTATAATAAAATAATGCTTTCTGTGTAATATTATATATCAGAAAGAAAGTATATATTTGTAGTTCAAGTTGTAGTATTAGAGTTGCCAGTTCTCAAGTAGCTTGGGCATCATTTCACATTTTATATCATACCTTGATGCACGTTTTTTTTTTCATAAGGATATATAAAAATAGAGAATTTAGAAAACAGAGTTGATTTTTTCTGTATTGAAACAAAAGTACCATATACATACATATATGGGGGGGAGAAACAGAGGGAGAGGGAGAGGGATTTATTTTGTAAAATGTAAACCCAACTAATCTTCAGATGTTCAATTAGTAAGCCCAATGCCATTATTAAACATTTCATGAAGTGATGCTCCAATAGCCTGAGATTTCTTTGGATTGCTTGAACTGACAAAGGAGAAGGCTCATTTAAGACCACTCCAATGGGACGGATGCACTCCAGTCCATTCCCTTGATAACTCACTTCAACAAGCCTTCTCTGCTCCATATGAGATTACATTCAAAGCATCATGTGCAACTTCCATTTTAAAACTCCCAGGAAAGCAAACTTGATAAAACTCACAACACATCAGTGCTTGAAGTGGAGCTTAGATAATAATAATATCTAGGCATCCAATCCCCTGTGTAATATTTGAGAACCTAGCCGCAGCAAGGAGCCAGGACTGGAATCCAAGTCCTCTGGTCCCAGTTCAAAGTTTTTTCACAAACTTTGGAACTCACCTGTTTTAGACAGAGAATGTCTTCCATGTTTATAAAACTGAGTTGTTTCTCATTACCATTTATGCTGATTTCCATCTGTTTTTCTTATGGAGATGGTAAATGTTTGATAAGCCCATATCTTGAAATGTAAAAATATAATCTCTAACCAAGAAACAGTTTCTGCTGCTTCATGAAGGACATGATATTCTGCAAGAATATGACTCAGAGAGAAGGAAGAGGGAGTGGGTAGATAAGATGACCTCCTAAAAGTTTTTTTTTTTAATCTCTATATTTGCTTCTGCCACGTGGAAATTATGCACCCAAACCCATGCTTCTATAAATGTACATCTCTGGTTTTGTTTCTATTTTCTTTAGCTAGGAGCTTACCTAGAGAACTGTTGCTAAGCTAACTTTAGCCGTGGTCAGTATAATGGCAGCACTGCAGTCCCAGCTCCCCCTGACTACCTCCCTGAATGTCAGTCAGATAACCATTCTGTCTGGTTTTCTTCAACATAAAATCAATTTAAATACTACTGACTCACATTGAGAAATTATGTGAACTTGTGGCACATATTTGAGGAAAAGCTCCTTAGAAAATGTAGTGATCTTAACCTATAAGATTATTTTTGGTTTTTAGATACAATGAAGAAGGGTTTTTTGAGGAAGCCGGACAGTCCATCTACAATGGTGAGCACAGGCTCTGTTCTTCCTCCTATTGTTCCTCTCCCTAGAGAGAGAGAGTGTGTGTGTGTGTGCGTGTGTGTGTGTGTGAGTGGATATGGATATGCACGTGCAAGTGCATCCATAAGAAGCCTAACTCTCTCATAACTACCTGCAAAATACCTATTAATTGTCACAAGCAGTCAGGAAGGTCCAGAAGATAAAGTAAGCACTAGCCGAGAGCCCACAGGCTCACCAGTGCTTGGAGGTTATTGTCCATTAGTGGTTACTCAACTAGCAATCACTGCTATGGGAAAAGAGCTTTATAAAATGTGTGTATATGTGTGTAAGTGCACATCCCCATGTGCTTACTACTTGGCAGAGGATTGTATACATGACGATGTGATGTAGGGGACAGGTTAACTATAGATGAGTGTCTATGTGATTCTTTCTGAGTCAAAATAATGTGATTTCTGAGGTAGTATATGTATGTACAGCTTGGGATAGTTTTGCAAACTGAGGATGTCTGAAGTGACTGTGTGGTTGTGTGTGTGTGTGTGTGTGTGTATGTGTGTAAGCCTGATTTTCTGTGACCTTTGCCTGATTATTTGACAGGGTGCCCCAGCCATGGAACCAGCTTTGAAGATGACTTGACGCTTGGAGCAGAGGGTAAATGGCACAGCTCTCTGAGGTTGAGATTGAATCAGAGACTATACATAGGGTTACTTAAAGATAGAATGGAAGGGAATAACTGCAAAAGGAAGCAGCCCATTCCTGGGGTCTTATCCATAGGGAAAGAACAGTCTCAATAAGAGCTAGTGTGGAACTCAGAAAATATCACATGCCCAGAAATACTTCTACACCAACTTATCAGGTTGTCTACTGGTTCATAATTGGAGTTTTCCTTTGGACCCTGGGAAAATAACATATAAAATCACAATAACATTGGCTGCCCAGACATCTTTGAAAATAGTTTTCTCTCTGTAGGAAAACCTGAAGCAGCCTCAGTAGTGGGTATGAAAGAGACCGCACTGCAGGAAGATAAGGGCTTGAATAAAGATGGAGGTATAGCAACCTCCTCGTGTCTCCTGGGACCTGAAGAGAGTCATACGATAGAAAGTGTAGCCTGGAGAGCTGAATGACTATCATTCTCAGGACAGAGGAACTCTTGCCTAGAAACCAGTCATGGTTCAGAAGTTCAGAGGCTCAGGGCCAATTGTTCTCTGCCACATCAATCCACCTTCCAGGTCGGTGCCTGATAATCTTTAGATTCCTCCGTAAAGAGTGGAGTTCATGGGGTTCAGCTATCCTGTCCTAGTGGCAGAGGGGAACAGAGGAGGTTGAGTTTTAAATTCAGAGGGGCAGCTTAGGTGACTGTCATTTTCCCTTCTAACTTCCTCTTCGCTTTCTGTTCCTTGTCCAGCCACACTGCTGGCCACCAATGGCAAACTCTTCTCTGGGTAAGTGTAAGGTCAGCAGGCTAAACGGTCTCTCCTTCAGGAGCTACTGAATTTCGGTAAGTGTCAGGGTCAAAGAAATTAAAAACAAAGAGCTAAAATTTTACAATGGAGTGATATTTTCCAATCAGTAATGAAGTCATAGACTGAGTTTTCACAGTAGATGGTTCAAAGGTACCCAGTCAGGAGTGACTATGCCCGGCAGGGGTGTCTTGGAGCCAGAGTGCAGATTGCATACAAGATTAGTATGACGTCATGTCTGACCCCTGCAGGAGTTTCCTAGAGACAGCCCGGCCCTGCCACCTACTAGATCTTGGCTGCAGTTTGGCTTCCAGCAGCATGACTGGTGGGACCAACAAGACTAGCTCAAGGTAAGTACCAAGTTTTGCAGGGGTAGAAGGATGGGGTAGATGAGAAGCAAAAAAGAATGGAACCAAGTACCATTGCCCATTTTTTCTGGGATATCTTACTGGAGCTTTTATATAGTCACGTGCTTGAGGAGTATGACCATACGTTCTTCAAGAACAGTAGGGAATACAGAGGAACCTGCTGCTCAGAACTGGATGCTAGGTGTAGAAATAACAGGTGTCTTTTCACTGAACTTTATACCCCAGGAGGTGGTACCATCACAGTTCCTGGGCTTAGTCTTACTAAGTTTTCAATAAACAATCAATAAATGTATTGATTTATTGATTGAAGGAAGCAACAAGATATTGATTCATTCAGGCAATTTTATATTCCTTAATGCAGGCCAGGCAATGACTATATGGAATTTGAAAAGATGAAGAAGATGAAGAGCTTGCTACCAGGAGTTCAATAATCCAATAGAGTGAACAAAATAACATAAAAATAGCTTTAAAACAAGATGGAAAGTGATGAAAATTAATGTGGTATGATTAAAAGCATCTGGAATTTCAAGTCAAAGTTTGAATTTGATACCTGGTTCTGAGACTTATTAGCCATATAACTATCTTTAATGACTTGTCCTTACAGAGCCCTAGCCCTGGCCATACTCCAGTTCAATTAAATCTGCATCTCTTAAAATAAGACCCAGACATCTCCATTTTTTAAAGCCCCCCCACCCAAAGTGATTCTAATTTTCAGCCATGGTTGACAACCAATGATCCAGACTTAGGCTCACGATTCAGATAAGGAAACTTGAGACCAGGGAAATAAAATCAGCACTTAGGTAACAAACATGAAAGTAGAGCCAGGGATTCCAATTATCCAGCTATTAATTAAATAAGATGGTATCTATTTGGATTAAAAAGCTCAGCATCTTTTCTGAAGAGACAGTGATTATTCAAAGTCTCAAATAATCCACAGCCCCCCCCCCCCATTCTTGTTTGGG